TTGATCTCCCAGAGATGACACCCATTCTGCATATGTCAATCTCACCCTAGCAGAGTTGGGTTAAATGTAAATAACCTGTATAGATGAATAATTACAGTATCAACTTATCAGTATTCAAGAATTTTTTTTTGTGTTCATGTTCTCTTCCCCCATTCTGAGGGGTTAACAGTCTAGATTTGAGTGCACCAAATCTGCCTTTCTGTTAAACACTCTTTCTTTGTATATAATTCCCTCCCTCAGAATCCATAGATCACATGAATACAAAACGATCGATCAAATTTTTTTTTATCACTTATTGTTTTAATTCTCAACGTTGGGTTTCTTCGATGAGTTGTGCTATTTATACCTTGTACTGCATTACAGTTTCAGTTTACGTAAGCTTTCCATTCCAATGTTTTACTTATGTATGTTATAATGTTAATTGTTGTGTATTTGACATTGGGTATGGGAATCAGCCCAGCTGTACACCTGCCATCTCTAGTTTGTATTAGTTGTATGTTGGGACGACATACGTTAGCGTCGCCGAGCTCTCAGTAGTAGAAAACCAGTTACCAGTAACCAGTGTACCAGTAGTTGACTCACTACCAACCGCCTCTGCCTGAGTCACTGTCTATCTATTGTGCTGACCATAGCAGTATTAAAAAGACCCCCTCACATATGGGTACTGTGGCGGCCAGTCAGTTTACGAGAGTGAGCAAGAGAGACAAGGTTACGGCTGTAAGGGCGCTCCCCACATTATCCGTAATATACGTACTACCACCTACGTGAGTATTACTTTACCCAACCCACGTGTTCGAACTCCCACATGATAGACACTGTTCCAGTAGACTAGACACTTTTACAGTAGAGTAGACACTGTACGAGAAGAGTAGATAAATTTACCGGTAGAGTAGACATGTTCCCGTAGACCAGACACTGTACCATTAAAGTAGACACTTTGTCAGTAGTACATTACCAGTAGAGTAGACCAACTATACCAGTAGACACTTCCAGTAGAGTAGACACTGTTCCAGTAGAGTAGACACTTTACCTGTAGAGTAGACACTGTTCCAGTGGAGCAGACACTGTACCAGTAGAGTAGACACTGTACCAGTAGATAGACAATGTATCAGTTGAGTAGACCCTGTATCAGAATAGACAATGTATCAGTAGAGTAGACACTGTACCAGTAGAGTAGACAATGTATCAGTTGAGTAGACACTGTATCAGTAGAGTAGTCTCTGTATCAGTAGAGTAGACACTGTTGCAGTAGATTAGACACTGTTCCAGTTGAGTAGGCACTATCAGTAGAGTAGACACTGTTCCAGTAGAGCAGACACTGTTCCAGTAGAGTCGACACTGTACCAGTAGAGTAGACACTGTACTAGTAGAGTAGACACTGTACCAGTAGAGTGGACACTGTTCCAGTTGAGTAGACACTGTACCAGTAAAGTAGACACTGTTCCAGTAGAGTAGACACTGTTCCAGTAAAGTCAGCACTGTACCAGTAGAGTAGACACTGTACCAGTAGAGTAGACACTGTACCAGTAGAGTAGACACTGTACCAGTAGAGTCAGCACTGTACCAGTAGAGTCAACATTGTACCAGTAAGTAGACACTGTACCAGTAAAGTAGACACTGTTCCAGTAGAGTAGACACTGTTCCAGTAGAGTAGACACTGTTCCAGTAGAGTAGACACTGTTTTCCCGTAAAAGTAGACACTGTTCCAGTAGAGTAGACACTGTTCCTGTAGAGTCAGCACTGTACCAGTAGAGTCAACATTGTACCAGTAGAGTAGACACTGTACCAGTAAAGTAGACACTGTTCCAGTAGAGTAGACACTGTTCCTGTAGAGTAGGGCACTGTTCCGTAGAGTAGCACTGTCCAGTAGAGTCAACCAAAGTACCAGTAGAGTAGACACTGTCCAGTAAAGTAGACACTGTTCCAGTAGAGTCAGCACTGTACCAGTAGAGTCAACACTGTACCAGTAGAGTAGACACTGTACCAGTAAAGTAGACACTGTTCCAGTAGAGTAGACACTGTACCAGTAAAGTAGACACTGTTCCAGTAGAGCAGCACTGTACCAATAGAGTCAACACTGTACCAGTAAAGTAGACACTGTACCATTAAAGTAGACACTGTTCCAGTAGAGTAGAACTTGCATGCATGCATTGGGTGCCCTAACATTTGAATTACATTATATGTGTAGTGCATAAAGACACAAAACCCTGACTTTGAATAATAACTTTGATATTGACTTATTAAGCTTCTGGGTTAATTCTTATGATGTCTTTTTCTTCTAATTAATTTGTTTGAATTCTTATTATTATTGTAATCAATGTTATCCTCAAGCTTTATGGAAATAAGTCTTATGTACATATGAGACTTTCATAAGTTATGTAAATGTTGGAAAACATTAGTTAGGTATGTATAATGTTGTCTAAAGGATATGAATTTATCCTAGCAAACTCGGCAGGATTTATTGTTGTGTGGAGTAGTTTCAGAAGATTGTTTATTGTGTATCAATATTCAACCATGTTAGATATCAGATATTGATATTTATACATAGATATTTAAAAAAATAAGTTGTAATAAACTCATAAAACAAAAAAATATATATAAAATTGTATGTGGAGTTTGTAGTAAAACTGGGCTAACTAATTTGATGTTTTATATATATTTGTATGTATTCTAGAGAAAATTGTGTATAATGAGAGTATCTGAATAATAGTAGTAAGAATAATAACAATAATAATAATCTTTCTTTCAACACACCAGCCGTATCCCACCGAGGCGGGGTGGCCCAAAAGGAAAAATGAAAGTTTCTCCTTTTACATTTAGTAATATATACAGGAGAAGGGGTTACTAGCCCCTTGCTCCCGGCATTTTAGTCGCCTCTTACAACACGCATCGCTTACGGAGGAAGAATTCTGTTCCACTTCCCCATGGAGATAAGAGGAAATAAACAGGAACAAGAACTAGAAAGAAAATAGAAGAAAACCCATAGGGGTGTGTGTATATGCTTGTACATGTATGTGTAGTGTGACCTAAGTGTAAGAAGAAGTAGCAAGACGTACCTGAAATCTTGCATGTTTATGAGACTAAAAGACACCAGCAATCCTACCATTATGTAAACCAATTACAGACTTTCATTTTTCACTCACTTGGCAAGGCGGTAGTACCTCCCTGGGTGGTTGCTGTCTACCAACATTCTACCTACAATAATAATAATATCAGTAATATAATAAAATAATAATAATATATGCACTCCCAATATCACACTCTGAGCATTAAACTTTATTTTTTTTAACACAGCAAGAAAGTACTGGGAAGAAGCTGGAGTGAGTCACAAGATCCAGCTACACATCGCTGCTGCTGCTGACACACTCCAGAGATTCATAGATGAGGGTCAGGCTGGCACCTTTGACTACGTCTTCATCGATGCTGACAAAGTCAACTACGACCGCTATTTTGAGCAGTGCCTCGTGCTGGTGCGCTCGGGAGGTATCGTATCCTTCGACAACACACTGAGGTCTGGTAAAGTGCTTGATCCTGAGGACCAGACGCATGACACTCTGGCAATCAGGAATCTCAATGTGAAACTCAGAGATGACAACCGCATCAACATCTCCTTCCTCAACATTGGCGATGGCTTCACCTTGTGCTTTAAAAAGTAAGGCCTGCAGTCACCAACAGTCTGATTGTGCAGAAACCAGGAAGGTACATCTGACCTCAACCCTTCTCTGTGTTGAACACTCCTCACAGCTTTAGTGTTTCATGAAATTCTGTACAGTCCATAACATGTGATGACACCATGAGCTACACAAATGATTATATCATTAATGTATTGTTATATCAAATCCTTACTAGTAGCCTTCAGGTCTTTTGACCATTTCAAACCTGAATAATAGGATAGTTTCTAGTTTGGAAACTGTCATAAGATCCATATCAAGTAAATATCTAGATAATGAGGTGATGAGGAAGGGAAAAAAATTTTTTATTAACACATCAGCCATGTCCACCTAGGCAGGGTGACCCTAAAAACAAGAAACACTTTCATCGTCATTCACTCCATCACTGTCTTGCCAGAGGTGTGCCTACACTACAGTTAAAAGACTGCAATATATCTCCACACCTCCTGGGTATATACACTGTAAACAAACCATACCACAGTTGGGGTTTGAACCCACAGTCATAGAGTCTCAAAACTCCAGACCGTCACGTTAGCCACTGGGCTAGCTAGCTTCATAAGATTCATCCAACTAGGTGTATTTCTATACCATAGGAAGGTTAGCATAGGCACCACTGTGACCACAAATGCAAGTTTTTACAGACGAACCTTTCACTAGCATGGCTGTGATGAACTCTAGCTCAAGTCCCTCAAAGCCGTCAACATGACTCACGAAATCGTAATGACAGCTTTGAGGGGACTTGAGCTAGAGTTCATCATGGCCATGCTAGTGGGAGATTCGTCTGTAAAAACTTGCATTTGTGGTCACAGTGGTGCCTATGCTAACCTTCTTATGGTGTAGAACTATTCCTAGTTGGATGTATCTTATTGAAGCTAGCTGGCCCAGTGGCTAACGCGACAATCTGGAGTTTTGAGACTGACTGTGGATTTAAACCCCACCTATGGTATGGTTTGTTTGCAATCATGTCATTATGATATCGTGAGTCATATACGCAGTACTTCCCATCTCCAGGACCCAAGTCTGGCTAACCAGTTTCTCTGAATCCTTTTATAATGTTACCTTGCTCACTCTCCAGCAGCGCCTCATGTCATAAAAAGCACTTGTCTCCACTCACTATTATCGAACACACTCACACATGATAACTGGATATTTAAGTTCCTCTCTTCTACCTTTCCTAGAATGAGCCCTACCCCACCTTCCCTCCACTCTAGATTTATATACCCTCCAAGTAATTCTATTTGGTTCCATTCTCTCTAAACGTCTGTACCTCATCAACAACCCCTCCTCAGCCATCTGGATAATACTTTTAGTAACTCTGCTCCTTCTAATCTCCAAGCTACGAATTCCAGGCATAATGTTCTCAGACACGGCATCACCACTGCCTCCAGTCTCCTTGACGTATCCTTCACAACCCATGTTTCACACCCATATAAAAATATTGGTACCACTATATCCTCATTCACTTTTCTTTTTGCCTTCATGGATTACGTTCTTTGTCTCCACCGACCTTTTTTTTTTTGATCACTTCTATGGTTCTCCTCGTCTTTCATAGATAAATCTGCTGACACGTCCACTCCCAAGTATCTGAACACATTCACTCCCTCTACTCCCTCCAATCTGATATCCAATCATTCATCAGCTAAATTTGTTTCCCTCATCACCTTGTTCTTTCTAATGTCTGATTTTAATTTCCCTTCCAAATTCTTTCACCAAATTTTGCAAATTCTCTTCAAAATCTCCCCCATCAGCAAAAAACAACTGTGAAAACTTCCACTTAGTGTTAGATTATCTTCCAATTCCACACCTCTCCCCTACACCCTTGCATTTACTTCTCTTACAACCTCATCAATAAATATGTTAAACAACCATGGTGACATCAGACATCCCTATCTAAGACCTACTTTTACTAGAAAACAATCTCCCTCTCTCCTCCTCATCCTAACCTAAGCTTCACTATCCTCAGAATTTCTTTACAACTTTCAGTAACCAACCACCTAGCATAGCAGCAGTAATGTAAGACAGTTACTTTTACGTTGGGCAACCAAAAAAAAAAAAATTTGTCACTGTTTTATGCACTTTTAATAACTGTTATATAAAAGGCAAATGCAAAAATTATTTGAAATCTAGTTTTAATAACCCTCCAAAAGATTATAAAACAAAATAAGATCTACTGAAATCACATGATCTCAAAAGCATGCTTTTCAATTTTGAAAATCCTCTTTTTACAGAAATCGATGTTGTTGAACAGTTTTTCAATATGATTATTTTAACAGAAATATCATTATTTGTACAAAGGAAAATGTCTTTTATTCCTCTGCTTTCTAACACTGAAGATATATAACATTTTAACATACATGGATCAAACGATGCTAATTGTTGCCTACTTACAACTTTCTTTATTATTTAAAAGTTTCCCCCCTTGTTTAATCACAAAGTCATGGAATAAGTTTTAAAAACCAATCAGGCATAACAAATCTGCTTCTATATTTATCAGACAAGGCATCCAGCATGTCTTGGTGCACAGTTGTTCTGTTGGGATTATTGGTATGTTTGAACTCAGAAAATAAATGCTCAGCTGTGAAATTTGTAACCATTAAGGTTAATAATATACACAAGGCAATGTTTATGCTAGGAAGCACACACTTATGTTTGTCTTCTGAAAATATTTTATAAAGTTCAGTATAACTATTAAGAACACAGGTATAGTATGGACTGCGACCTGGTCGTAATGGGTTTAAAGCGGACCAAACAAACTTAGGAATAAATAACAAAAAAGGCACAATACCGTGACTGGAACGATACACAAATAACCCACACATAAAAGAAAGAAGCTTACGACTACGTTTCGGTCCGACTTGGACCATTGACAAAGTCACACTAACCAGAAGTGGAGTACGACGGCTATATATAGGCAGGAAGAGGTGGTGGTAGTAGTAGTACAAGAATGGTATATAATGCCGACAAGAGCATTGTTAGTGTCGGCAAGTCTAACACTATTTTTGTGCTCCCTAAGTCTGTCAGAAAGAGATCGACCAGTTTCTCCGAAGTATTGAAGAGGACAGGAGGAGCAAGAAATAGAGTAGACACGAGGAACACCAGGAACTAACACTCTTCGCACTAATCTCGTTCATACCTCTCCTCCCTCTACAGATGTTCCTGTTGTCTACTCTATTTCTTGCTCCTCCTGTCCTCTTCAATACTTCGGAGAAACTGGTCGATCTCTTTCTGACAGACTTAGGGAGCACAAAAATAGTGTTAGGCTTGCCGAAACTAACAATGCTCTTTTCTGTCACGTCAGAGATCATAGCCATCCTATTGACTTGTCTTCTGCTAAAACTGCCTTCCCTACTTCCAACTCGAACAGTCGCCGTCTAGTTCAATCCTCTCTAATACACAACTTTCCTTGTATGAACCTTAGCCCTGGCTTCGTCTCTGTAGATTCCTTCCTCTCCCACTACATTGTAAAATGCTCCAAACTGCAGAACACCCGTGACTTAACCTGACTCCTCATTTTTTCTTTTTTTCTTTTATTCTCCCTCTTACCCTTTCCTCTTTCCTTTTCTCCTCTGGGTTGTCTTTCTCTCTTCTGTCTCGTGTTTCTGTTCCTTCTTCATTTATTTCACCACTTCTCCTTTCACGCACCTCTGTGCGCTTGCTCTCCCTCAGTGGGCACCTAGCTCTCTTGCAGTGCTCCCCTTCCTTTGTATTTGACTGGCTCGTCCTCCTTATTTCCCACTTCTACCACTACCACTACTACTACCTCTTCTACTACTACTACTACTACAATACTGATGAAATTAAGACACATGTGCAGCGTCTGGTTGTCTTTGTTGTGGACGTTTCGCCATCCAGTGGCTGGCTGGATGGCGAAACGTCTATGATAGGGATGCCCGGGTGTTGCGCATGTGTCTTAATGTCATCTTGTCGGTATTATATACCATTCTTGTACTACTACTACTACTACTACTACCACCACCACCTCTTCCTGTCTATATATAGCCGTCCTACTCCACTTCTGGTTAGTGTGACTTTGTCAATGGTCCAAGTCGGACCGAAACGTCGTCGTGAACTTCTTTCTTTTATGTGCGTGTTATTTGTGTAAACTTAGGAATAGTATATAACTCACATTTCTTTCAAAAGATATAATTTGCCAGATATTTACAAGTATGTACACTATATATGTGATCAGTCATGAGGGTGTCTTCACAAAATTCAATTTCAGTAACAAAAACATACAATGGGAACAAGTCACCTATGTCCTAAATGAAACAAGCTGGGAAGATACCCTAAACAATACAGATCTGAACCTTTGCCTAGAAAAAAATAACTGTGGTTCTCGAGGTCTCCTTAAGGCCATACCATTAAGAAAAAGAAAGAGTAGATGTAAACTAGAGAGAGACGCTCCCTTTACAGATGAAGGCAAGAATCACAGAGCTGCTGAGAGGGAAGAATATATCTGAAATACAAAGGGAGGCACTGGTCAGTGAAATAGCAAATGTTGAACTTAAGCTGAAGAAATCTCAGGAAAAACTAAAAGCCATAAAGAAAATTAAAAAAAAAAAAAACTACTAGTGTTACGGTTTGAAT